TGACAAAGCTCAGGAAGCAGAGGGGGAGGGAGAGTGGACCTCGTAGCGATCAGGAAGAGGCGGGGCCAGGGGCTGAGTCTCGACCCTGCGACCACAACTAGGGTTGAGTACAATTTGGGTGAGTACACACACATACACACACACACACCCCACACACCAGGAGCTGAGTCTCGACCCCTACAACCACAATTAGGTGAGCACACACACACACCACACACACACTCACACACCACACACACAGCAGATATACTGTGTGTGCCACTTACACAATCTTCAACACATCCCTGAAAATGGGCAACTACCTGAGGTATGGCAAGACCCAAATGTAGTTCTCATTTTAAAAAAGGCAGACAGAAAGAGGCACTAAATTACAGGACAGTGTCACTGACCAGTTATTGATATGCAATGTCATGGAAGAAGATTTTTCAGGAAGAGGTGGTTGAGCAACATGGAACGAATAAAGATTATAAACCACAACCAGCACGGATTTAGTAAGGCAAATCCTGAGTCACAAACTTCTGGAGCTTTTAATGACAATGTTGCAGAAGTAAGACCGGGAGAGAGGGGGTGGGTTGATTGCATTTTCTTGGCTGCAAGAGGCCTTCGACACTGTTTCTCACAAGAGATTAGTGCAGAAGCTAGAGGATCAGGCGCGTATAACAGGAAGGGCACACTGCAAAGGCTCAGGAATACCTGACAGGGAGGCAACAACGAGTCATGGTACGTAATGATGTATTCACAGTGGGCACCTGATGACGTGGGGGTCCACAGGGGCGGTCCTAGGGACAGTGCCTATTTTTGGTATATGTGAACGACATGATGGAGGGGATTGACTCAGAGGTGTCCCTCTTCTCAGATGATGTGAAGATAATGTGAAGAAGAATTAATCAGATGAGGGCCAGGCAGGGCTTCAAATAGACCTGGACCAGACTGGACACGTGGTCCAGCAACGGCTCTTGAATTCACCCTACAATGCAAATCATAAAAGATAGGGGAAGCAAAGAAGACCGCAGACAGAGTATAGGCTAGGTGGCCAAAGACTGCAAACCTCACTTCAAGGAGAAGATCTTCGGGGGTGAAGCTAACATCGAGCATGTCTTCGGAGGCACACATCAACCAGATAACGCATGCAGCATATGGGCGCCTGGCAATACCTGAGCATAGCGTTCGATACCTTATGTAGAATCGTTCAAGACACGGTACACTGTGTACCATCAGGCCCATACTGGAGTACGCATGCACCAGTTTGGAACAAACACTGGTCAGCACGTCAAGAAATTAGAGAAGTGCAAGGTTTGCAACAAAGTAGTTCCGGGCTCAAGGGTATTGTCCGAGGAAGGAAAGGTTGAGGGAAATCGGGACTGACGACACTGGACGGACAGAAGGGTCAGGGGAGACATGATAAGACATATAAAAATACTGCGTGGAATTGATATAGGTGGATAGAGACAAGTTGTTCAGAGAGGGGACACAGAAACAAGGGCGTCAAAATAGAAGATGAAGACTCAGACGAGTCAGAGGGATGTTAGTAAGTTTTTTTCAGTCATAGTGTCGGTCAGAAGTGGAATAGCTTAGCAAGTGATGTAGTGGAGGCAGGGGAACTATACTTAGCTTTAAGACGAGTATGACAAAGCTCAGGAAGGCAGAGAGAAAGAGACTAAAGGTAGCGATCAGTGAAGAGGCGTGCAGGAACTGTGTATCGACCCGGCAACCACAATATTAGTGAGTACACACACCACACAACGGGGTTAGGTTTAGGTTAGGTTTGTCACGAAACAGTGTAAGGTGTTCCCTGAACGCGGGGTCTTAGTCTTATGATGACCCGCAGTGGAGCTTTTGGTCATATGACGTGGCTTCCACCCTTAAAACAACCGTAGTTATATTATAACAGTAATACTAAAAATCACACTTCTGGATGACCCTATATTCTTATAGTGATATACCAACGATCGGAATACTGTTATATGAACTCTTTTTCTCTACTTCTTTTAACGCAGAGATTTGATAGGTATCCATCACCCAAGCAGTTTATTAAATGATTATTGTATTACTTATCAGAACACATGAAGGAGGACACTCTTGAGGTTACCTTATACTTTTTTTCAATATTACCTGGAGTTTACCTGGAGAGAGTTCCGGGGGTCAACGGCCCCCGCGGCCCGGTCTGTGACCAGGGCCCTCCTGGTGGTCAGAGCCTGATCAACCAGGTGTTGATGCTGGTCTGCCGCAAACCACGTAGGAGCCACAGCGGCTCCTGATCAGGAAATGACTTTAGGTGGTTGATCAGTGCCAGCTTGAGACTGCCAGTGGTGTTGGTAATCCCCCTTATGTGTGCGGGAGGTAGTTGAACAGTCTCGGGCCCCTGGACACGTATGGTATGGTCTCTTAACGTGCTAGTGACACCCTGCTTTTCATTGGGGGGGTTGTTGCATCGTCTGCCAAGTCTTTTGCTTTCGTAGTGAGTGATTTTCGTGTGCAAGTTCGGTACTAGTCCCTCTAGGATTTTCCAGGTGTATATAATCATGTATCTCTCCCTCCTGCATTCCGGGGAATACAGGTTTAGGAACCTCAAGCGCCCCCAGTAATTGAGGTGTTTTATCTCCGTTATGCGCGCCTTTGAAAGTTCTCTGTACATTTTCTAGGTCGGCAATTTCACCTTGCCTTGGGAAAGGTGCTTTTTAGTGTGCAGCAATATTCCAGCCTAGATAGAACAAGTGACCTGAAGAGTGTCATCATGGGCTTGGCCTCCTAGTTTGAAGGTTCTCATTATCCATCCTGTCATTTTTTCTAGCAGATGCTATTGATACAATGTTATGGTCCTTGAAGGTGAGATCCTCCACATGATCACTCCCAGGTCTTTGACATTGGTTTTTCGCTCTTATTTTGTGGCCAGAATTTGTTTTGTACTCTGATGAAGATTTAATTTCCTCATGTTTACCATATCTGAGTAATTGAAATTTCTCATCTTTGAACTTCATATTGTTTTCTGCAGCCCACTGAAAGATTTGGTTGATGTCCGCCTGGAGCTTTGCAGTGTCTGCAATGGAAGACCACTGTCATGCAGATTGGGTGTCATCTGCAAAGGAAAAACCGGTGCTGTGGCTGACATCCTTGTCTATGTCGGGTATGAGGATGAGGAACAAGATGGGAGCTAGTACTGTGCCTTGTGGAACAGAGCTTTTCACCCTAGCTGCCTCGGGCCTTTACTCTGTTTTACGACTACTCTCTGTGTTCTGTTAGGAAAGGAAATTATGATCCATCGACCGACTTTTTCCCGTTATTCCTTTAGCAACGCATTTTGTGCGCTATTACCCATGGTCACACTTGTCGAAGGCTTTTGCAAAGTCTGTATTTTTTTACATCTGCATTCTTTTGTCTTCTAGTGCATTTAGGACCTTGTCGTAGTGATCCAATAGTTGAGACAAAAGGAGCGACCTGTTCTAAAAACCCCTGTTGCCCTGGGGTTTTGTAACTGATGGGTTTCTAGATGGGTGGTGATCTTGCTTCTTAGGGCCCTTTCAAAGATTTTTATGATATGGGATGTTAGTGCTATTGGTCTGTAGTTCTTTGCTGTTGCTTTACTGCCCCCTTTGTGGAGTGGGGCTATGTCTGTTTTTTTTTAGTAACTGTGGGACGACCCCCCGTGTCCATGCTCCCTTTCCATAGGATGGAAAAGGCTCGTGATAGGGCTTCTTGCAGTTCTTGATGAACACAGAGTTCCACGAGTCTGGCCCTGGGGCAGAGTGCATGGGCATGTCATTTATCGCCTGTTCGAAGTCTTTTGGGGTCAGGATAACATCGGATAGGCTTGTGTTAATCAAATTTGGGCTTCTCTCATAAAAATTCATTTTGATCTTTGACTCTCAGTCTGGGTTTGCGGGTTGCTAAAAACTGAGTCATACTGGGACTTGAGTAGCTCACTCATTTCCTTCTGTCATCTGTGTAGGACCCATCTTGTTTAAGTAGGGGCCCAATACTGGGCGTGTCTCGATTTTGATTTGGCATAGGAGAAGAAATACTTTGGGTTCTTTCGATTTTTTATTTATGGCTTTTAGTTCTTCCGCGATCCTGACTCCTAAAGGATTCTTTTAAACTTAATTCCATGCTTGCTATTTCTCTGACCAGTGTCTCCCTACGCATTTCAGATATATTGACCTCTTTTTGCCGCTCTGTTATTCTTTTTTCCGTCGCCTGTAAAGGGAGCGCCTGTCTCTTTCTATTTTACATCTACTCCTCCTTTTTCTTAGAGGAATAAGCCTTGTGCAAACATCGAGTGCCACCGAGTTAATCTGTTCTAGGCATAAGTTGGGGTCTGTGTTGCTTAGTATATCTTCCCAGCTTATATCGGTTAGGAATTGGTTTACTTGGTCCCACTTTATGTTTTTGTTATTGAAGTTGAATTTGGTGAATGCTCCCTCGTGACTAGTCTCATTACGTCGGTCTGGGCTCCACGCATACATGTCTGAACCTCAATTATGTTGTGATCTGAGTATATTGTTTTTGATATGGTGACATTTCTTATCAGATCATCATTGTTAGTGAAGATGAGGTCTAGTGTATTCTCCAGTCTAGTAGGCTCTATTATTTGCTGGTTTAAATTGAATTTTGTGCAGAGATTTAAAAGCTCGTGTGAGTGTGAGTTTTCATCAGAGCTGCCTCCTGGTGTTATTACTGCAACAATATTATAATCTTAAGATTATTTAATTAAAATGCGACTTTATTAATGTAAGTACTAAAGAAGACCCTAAAGTGCTTGGCTATGACTTCTTAGTGATGGAAAGTGTACTCTTATGTGCAAGTTTCCTTACACGTGCTCCTGCAGACCTGTTATTAAATAGATAACCAATCGAAACTTAACTGTTACCGATCGCATCCTAGGGAAGAGGGCCTAAAATCACCATTGAAAATAAGTCAGTGCTTAGCTTTATTGTGTTACCCTTGGTTATCAAGCCTCTGGAATAAATAACAATAAGAAATCCATATGACTGTTTTGGTTGTAGAACGCTGTATTGAGCGGTCTGCCATACCTGGGTATGTGGATCTTCAGCTTAGTGGTGAGCCTGACGGGGGACACACTACGTAAGAAGGCCATCCTCTCCACCCAGACTGTCAGGAAGGTCGCCAACACCATCGGTAAGACATACGTGTGTCTCTCACACTACACCAGAACTTCTCACACTAAACCAGAACTTCTCACACTACACCAGAACTTCTCACACTACACCAAAACTTCTCACACTACACCAGAACTTCTCACACTAAACCAGAACTTCTTCACCCTACCCCCAGAACTTTTCACACTACACCAAAACTTCTCACACTACACCAGAACATCTCACACTACACCAGAAAACCCCTCAAAATACACCACAAAATTCTTATTTACACCAGGGCCTTCACACTAACATCGGAACATTTCACACAACACTAGGACCTCTCACACTACACTAAAAAACCCCTTAAATTACACCCCAAAACCTCTTACACTACACCTGGACCTCTTACACTACACCAAAACCTCTCACACTACACCAGGACCTCTTACACTACACCAAAACCTCTTACACTACACCAAGGACCTCTTACACTACACCAAACCTCTCACACTACACAAGGACCTCTTACACTACACCAAACCTCTTACACTACACCAAACCTCTTACACTACACGATGACCTCTTACACTACCCAGGACCTCTTTTTACAACACCTAAACCTCTCACACTACACCAGGACCTCTTACACTACACCAAAACATCTTACACTAAAACCAGGGCCTCTTACACTACACCAGGACCTCTTACACTACACCAAAACCTCTCACACTACACCAGGACCTCTTACACTACACCAGGACCACTTACACTACACCAAAACCTTTTACCCCTACACCAAAACCTCTCACACTACACTAGGATCTCTTACACTACACCCGGACCTCTCACACACACTAGACTTCTTACCCCTACACAAGGACCGCTTACACTATCACCAAAACCTCTTACATTACACCAGGGCCTCTTACACTAAAACCAAAACCTCTTACACTACACCAGGACCTCTCACACTACACTAGGATCTCTTACACTACACCAGGACCTCTCACACTACAACCAGGGCCTCTTTACACTACACTAGGACCTCTTACAACTACACAAGGACCGCTTACACTACACCAAAACCTCTTACATTACACCAGGACCTCTTACACTACACCAAAACCTCTTACACTACACCAGGACCTCTCACACTACACTAGGATCTCTTACACTACACCAGGACCTCTCACACTACACTAGGATCTCTTACACTACACCAGGACCTCTCACACTACACCCGGACCTCTCACACTACACCAGGACCTCTCACACTACACTAGGACCTCTCACACTACACCAGGACCTCTTACACTACACCAAAACCTCTTACACTACACCAGGACCTCTCGCACAACACTAGGACCTCTTACACTACATCAGGGCTGCTTACACTACACCAGGACCTCTCACTCTACGCCAAAACCTCTTACACTACACCAGGACCTCTCACACTACACCAAAACCTCTTACACTACACCAGGACCGCTTACACTACACCAGGACCTTTTACACTACACCAAAACCTCTACACTACAATAAAACCTCTTACACACACCAGGACCTCTCACGCTACACTAGGACCTCTTACACTACACCAGGACCGCTTACACTACACCAGGACATCTCACACTACACCAAAACCTCTTACACTACACGAGGACCTCTTGCACTACACCAAAACCTCTCACACTACACCAAAACCTCTTACACTACACCAAAACCTCTTCACTACACCAAGACCTCTCACACTACAAATAGGACCTCTTTAAAACTACACCAGACCGCTTACACACGCCAAAAACATCTACACTACACCAGGACCTCTTACACTACACCAAAACCTCTTAACCACTACACCAGGACCTCCACTCTACACTAGTCTCTTACACCCAAAATCAGGACCTCTCACACTACACAGGACCTCTCACCAACTACACCAGGACCTCTCATACTACACCAGGGCCGCTCACACTACCAAACCCGGACCTCTTACACTACACCAGGACCTCTTACAACTACACCAAAAACCGCTTACACTACACCAGGACCTCTCACAAATACACCAGGACCCCCACACTACACCAGGACCTCTCCAACACTACACCAGGACCTCTCACACAACACTAGGACCTCTTACACTACCCAGGACCCTTCCCCACTTTCACCAGGACCTCTCACACTACACCAGGACCTCCCACTCTACACTAGGATCTCTTTCACTACACCAAAAACCTCTTACACTACACCAGACCTTCACACTACACCAGGACCTCTCACACTACAAAACCTGGACCGCTCAAAACTACACCAGGACCTCTTACACTACACCAGGACCTCTTTCACTTTCACCAAAACCGCTTACATTACACCAGGACCCTCTCACACTACACTAGGGTCTCTTACATACACCAGGACCTCTCACACTACACCAGGACCTCTCACACTAACACCAGGACCTCTCCACTAACCCAGGACCTCTTACACTACACCAGGACCGCTTACACTACACCAAAACATCTTAAACTACACCAGGACCTCTTACACTACACCAAAACCTCTTACACTACACCAGGACCTCTCACACTACTCCAGGACCTCTCACACTACACCAGGACCTCTCACACTACACCGGGACCTCTCACACTACACCAGGACCTCTTACACTACACCAAAACCTCTCACACTACACCAGGACCTCTCACACTACACCAGGACCTCTCACACTACACCAGGGCCTCTAAAACTACACTACGACCTCTCACACTACACCAGGACCTCTTACACTACACCATAACCTCTCACACTACACTAGGACCTCTTGCACTACACCAGGACCGCTTACACTACACAAGGACCTCGCACACTATACCAAAACCTCTTACACTACACCAGGACCTCTCACACTACACCAAAACCTCTTACACTACACCAGGACCGCTTACACTACACCAGGACCTCTCACACTACACCAAAACCTCTTACACTACACAAGGACCTCTCACACTACACTAGGATCTCTTGCACTACACCAGGACCTCTCACACTACACCAGGACCTCTCACACTACACCAAACCTCTCCACACTACACCAGAACCTCTCACACTACACCAAACCTCTCAAAACTACGCAAGAACCTCTCACACTACCAGAACCTCTCACACTACACCAGAATCTCTCACACTACACCAGAACCTCTCACACTACACCAGAACCTCTCACACTACACCAGAACCTCTCATACTACACGAGAACCTCTCATACTACACCAGAACCTCTCATACTACACCAGAACCTCTCACACTACACCAGAACCTCTCACACTACACGAGAACCTCTCATACTACACCAGAACCTCTCATACTACACCAGAACCTCTCACACTACACCAGAACCTCTCACAGTACACGAGAACCTCTCATACTACACCAGAACCTCTCATACTACACCAGAACCTCTCACACTTACACCACAACCTCTCACACTACACCAGAACCTCTCACACTACACCAGAACCCTCAACTACATCAGAACCTTTCCCCACTACACCAGAACCTCTCACACACACCAGAACCTGTCACACTACAAACCCGAACCCTCACACTACACCAGAACCTCTCACCCCTACACCAGAACCCTCACACTACACCAGAACCTCTCACACTACACCAGAACCTCTCATACTACACCAGAACCTCTCATACTACACCAGAACCTCTCACACTACACCAGAACCTCTCACACTACACCAGAACCTCTCACACTACACCCAGAACCTCTCATACTAAAACCAGAACCCTCTACTACACCAGAACCTCTCATACTACACCAGAACCTCTCACACTACACCAGAACCTCTCACACTACACTAGGATCTCTTACACTACACCAGGACCTCTCACACTACACCAGAACCTCTCACACTACACCAGAACCTCTCACACTACACCAGAACCTCTCACACTGCACCAGAACCTCTCATACTACACCAGAACCTCTCATACTACACCAAAACCTCTCACACTACACCAGAACCTTTCACACTACACCAGAACCTCTCACACTACACGAGAACCTCTCATACTACACCAGAACCTCTCATACTACACCAGAACCTCTCATACTACACCAGAACCTCTCACACTACACCAGAACCTCTCACACTACACTAGGATCTCTTACACTACACCAGGACCTCTCACACTACACCAGAACCTCTCACACTACACCAGAACCTCTCACACTACACCAGAACCTCTCATACTACACCAGAACCTTTCACACTACACCAGAACCTCTCATACTACACCAGAACCTCTCACACTACACTAGGATCTCTTACACCCACACAAGGACCTCTCACACTACAACCAGACCCCTTTACACTACACCAGAACATCTCACACTACACAAGAACCTCTCACACTATACCAGAACCTCTCACACTTTCCCTGAACCCCTTTACACTACACCAGAACCTCTCACAAACACCAGAACCTCTCATTTGTACATCAGAAACTCTCATACTAAACCAGAACCTCTCACACAAAACCAAACCTTTTCACACTTTCACGAGAACCTCTCATACTACACCAGAACCTCTCATACTACACCAGAACCTCTCATACTACACCAGAACCTCTCACACTACACCAGAACCTCTCACACTACACGAGAACCTCTCACACTACACCAGAACCTCTCACAATAAAACAAAAACCTCTCACACTACACCAGAAACCTCTCACAACTACACCAAGAACCTCTCACAACTACACCAGAACCTCCCCCACACACACCAGAAACTCTCATACTACACAAAAAACCTCTCACACACACCAGAAACCTCCACACTCACGAGAACCTCTCATACTACACCAGAACCTCTCATACTTCACCAGAACCTCTCATATACACCAGAACCTCTCACACCTACACCAGAACCTCTCAATTACACAAAACCTCTCATACTAAAACAGAACCCCTCATACTACACCAAATCCACTTCTACAACCAAACCCTCCCCAATACACAGA